ACTTCCCTCTTTATCACATCAGATGAATGCATTTGGTAAATAGGGAACACTTTGAAGTTATTGTTAGCACAGTTATGAATATGTTTGTTCACTTGTAAAAATCTAAGGTCATCATGGATTGTTTGTTGCTTGTGAAGAGTCATTCTTTGACGTAGTTCACNGATCATAAAGTTATGCGTTTGTCTAAGTAATGTAACGTCACAATTTAGCTTGTATTGTTGTTGACGTCATGGATTTATGTGTATGCCTTCTGTGACGTCATCATGACTTTGCATTATTGATGACGTCATACTTTCTTGTGTAAACAACTATGACCTCACAATACCTGTTTTCAAAATAAACAGTCTCCTGATGAACGGGGAATCAACCCGAGAAAGGCCTAGAGACGCTATCTCTGTCTTTTGTTCTATTTTTTTTTATAGATATATATTTATTTATATATTATGAATATTAAAGGCGTCTGGATATCCTAAGGTTTAAGTAAAAGATCCACTATATTTAGAAAGAAATAGCCCATTAAGTTTAATTGATAAGGGAACGGAAACTGAAAAAAGTTTCCTAAATTAAATCAAGGTATTCAAATAGTATAAACATATAAAATTGAACGTATTGATTCAAAACGAAATAGGATATATATCTTGTGATTTGTTCAAAACATTAATAAAGGAATTTTTATTTTGTTATCTATTGGAAAATTGCATCAGTAATGAAGGTAGTATATAAACATATATATACTTGATGCAATTTTTTGTATTCTTTATTTTTTTACATAGCTGACTATGTAAAAAGAGTTCCTAGAGTGAAGTAAAATACACGTGGTAAATACGGAACACTCATGTGAGATACCTGTATTTCACATGGGCAACCTTCACTATTATAACTAGTATATCAATCAGATGACGGTGTAATATTATGATTTATGATGTCACCATCGAAAGTCCGTCGAAACGTTGTTTGACTGACTGTGACAATCTAGTCGGTGACAAGTGACACCAACCCAGGAACATTAAAAATAAACAACAAGCTTGCACTGAGGATATTACATAGATCTTTAAATTTAAGGTATACCTTTGATATACATATTTTTATTCAGTTCTTTCAAATATGGCCTTAGTTTGTGAATATGTTACATACATTTAGTATTGCATATACATTGCCAATATCGTGTTTTACTGAACCATCCGATTTAAGGTGTAAGAAAAAGAGTCAACCAATGTGTAAGTACATTTGTACGATGGATGTGGTATTGGGAGATTCTACACTCAGGTTATCAAAGCTTCTGTTGTGAATCAAATTTCTACACCCTCGGGTATAATTGTCCTATCTAACATACCTACATACATTGTATGATTAATTCCGTCAATCTCACATGGACATGACATATCAATGCAAAGACAATGTGATGACGTCATTTGTCCATAAACTCTGTGCCCTCAAGTGGGATATTTCTATCATTCATATATACATATGATAGAGTAATAAATTATCAAACTTTTGACTGAATTGTCCTCTGTTGAGCATGTTCAAGTTTCACTGTCACCCCAAGAGTATGATTTCCTTGTTACCCTATGGGTATGACAGATTGCACGCAGAAGTAAAATTTACTACATTTATGACGTCAAAGAAACAATCAGATATGACGTCGTAAACAAAGACAGAAGAGGTCATGTGCTATCTGGATATTTTTTTTTTTTTTTACAAAAGCTGAAAACTATTGTTTTTAAACATACGTTATTTCTCTATCACACCCTCGAGCTAGAGGAAGATTTTATTAATCGTTTCTTTTGTAGATACATTATTTTCATTATTTATATCATTGATGTTACTTAACGACACTTTTGTACATTAAACACTGGAAATGCAAAAACATTCATACAGGATTGCTATTATATCCATTGTAGAAATGAACAATTGCCCATTTAAACAGGTAGTTAAATACTTACACACTATCAGTTACCTAAGGACAAGTTATATATCGATATAGTACTCGACCTCTTTGTACCAAACGGCCTCAAATTGCATTCGCGTGTGAAAAGTTTTATTGTTGTCCTCATGTGAACATAGAGTAGCAACTAAGTAAATTAGACAAAATAAGGAGTGTCAATAAAAATAAGATAATACAAAAACTTGAAAACGGAATCGGATTTGTGATATATGAGTGTCAACACGCCCGTATACGCTCCAGTGTCTTTTGCAACTTGTCGAATGACAGATCTACTGCACTGTTTGAAGGTTAAATTGATGAAAACATCCTTAATCTCTTTAAAATGTTAACATTTATATTTGGTCGGTCACTTGCTTTTAGAATAAATGCCCTGCTTACTTGTTCCGCTCGAGGTTTTCCTGGTTATATTTGTATTCATTTGGGACTTCACTGAAAATCAGTAATAGCTATCACGAATACGGCCAGTTTAAGTTATCAATTCCTGCTTTAATTGGGTTTGTTGCTAATTTGATAAAATAAATATTCATGATATTTAATGTGATGTTATCGTTCTATTTCACTAAAATATACTTAATGTGTGTATTGTCCTTGTTTTCATGGGAGACATGTTTGAAGTTTTAAGCATTTTCAAAGAAAGTTATATTCATTGACAGATTATACAATTATAGTTTATAATGAATTTTAGGATAAAAACAACTTTGGGATTAATAAAACATTAGTTTGTTCACACACTAAACGATGCATCCACTCAACAGGGCAAAACAATCCAGGGCAAAAATTCTCTGAAGGGTCATCCATTATTTGCGAATTTCGCAAAACGTGAGAGAAACCAGGATATAAACATGATATAGAACCACCATCGTCTGCTATTACGTCATTTGGTTCAAGAATCATCATCAAACCTCTGCTAAAATGTAATAATGAATCAAAAACATTTACCTGCATGAAATTATATTTAATTAACCAAAAAACAAAATGATTCCTTTCGGTTTGATATTTTTATTAAAAAATATGAAATAAGTACACATAATATATATGTTGTGAAAGGGGATCTTAATGCTGTTACAAAAAGAAAAAACACTCACACAGGTATTGGATATTTCTCCTGATTTGCCATCAGTGGACTTTTGAGTTTATATTAAATCTACATAGGGCTTTATGAACCTATTTCGTACCAACATGATGTATAAACGTTTCAAGAAGGACCCACTATGTCTCTGATACACTCCAATGACTATCTGATTTGATAATCATAGAATGACAGAGTACTCAATATGGATTTGCTCAGCTGTCACTTCATGATTGACAGCTCGGCTTCGGAAGCGTAGATTATTCAGTTAACATCAGTTAAGTTTGTCATTAGACTTGATAGGCAGTTTGGGTTAAAATATATACTTATATTTGAAGGGTTCGGTAAGGAACATGCTTGAGACTTATATTCAGTTTGTGTGTGAGGTTTTTAAGGATGTTTGTCCCACTACACTGTGTTTTTCCTATATACCGTAACCTACTCATATTCCGTTTTCACCCCATATAACTGTAGAACAGTAAGGTAAGCATACTTGCTGCTATGACCAAATAACTCAATCGGCTAAAGCGATAGTACAGTATAACAATCTTAAGTCCAGGGTTCGAATCCCGGTCTAGACTCATTGAATTTACACTCAAAACACTATTGTTGATTATATTATGTTTCTTTAATCTGTATTATTTCTCATTAAAAGCATGGTTTTCTTTTCAGAAAAGATTTATCAAAGGTGGTGTCATGCCGGAAAACAGTTTTAAACACTAAGTTACAGTTGTTGGTGGTGGTTACGGGATCCTTGGAAAGGGAGAAAAAAATAATCGATGAATAAACATTATATAGAATGGGCAGAAGGATCATTTAAGCACTGATTTTATACTTTGATCACATTATCTTTACCTTGTAGGAACATTTTTATGTTACAGCCCACTTATCGTACTGGTATACAGCTGTCGGGTGTTAAGTGTTAGTTGGTGGTCATATAATGACCATATAACGTATCTTAAATGGGCAGTAACATCTGATAAAACAATTGTCCACTTAGCAGAAAAGTAACATGAATAAACCATTGTCGCTGTATGTTACATGTACCGTGTTTTATTTTTATAGTTACCTTAACTTACCATTTTAGTATGTTCGATCATAAAAGCATTAACCAAAGCAGTCATTCAAAATACAAACCATTGCGTACATTATTTTTGAGACTTTTGTTTTGACACAGAGATAAAGCATCCATCTAAAGAGTATATTATGTTTTTCAATAAACTATTCGTCTTTTTATATTTTATTCTTTGATATAGTATAAACAAATATACAATAACAAACAAATATCCAGTTGTCGCATTCGTATAAATGACACAGCATAACCCTGATGGCAGCAAAACGACTAAGTGAAGTTTTCATTCCTGAGTAAGCAAACAAAGGAAATAAGGGATAATAATCATAGACCTCTGGTTCAGCCCGTTTTCATATCGATGTAATTAGACAGGATTGCATGTGACGGAAACCAACGTTTTGCATTTTAGCACATTTTTGACAGTTAGCTATCGAATTCAATTAAATTGAAAAACTAATATTTTTCACACTGTGACTGATAGAAAATAATATTTGTCACTTTGTCAACATATTACTTGAGGTATAAAGAAATCCGAACGATAACATCTACTCATTTCATTTAATGCTTCTTATTTTGTTTTCTTATAAAAATGAATTGACGGTAGAATGAGTTAATATTTTGGTACACCTTTGATTTAAACGCTAACGTATTTACATAAACATAAATTACATAAACGTGATCAAAATTTACGAGATATTATTACAAACCTTCCGCTCGTGAACAATATCGGTATTCTGCCAAACTCATTAAATATGTAGTGCATTCAACCGGAAACCATTAAATATCCTATATAAAGTGTAATGGTAAATAGATGAGCTGTATTATCAGTTTACACTATCTTTTTAACAGGACGTTTAACATGATAACATAATACCAATAAAATTCACCAGGATGTATAATGAAATCGATCTTACCGTCATCATCCTCATCTTCAAAAGATCGCTGCAATCAGTATGAACCCTTCTGATATGTACCGTACATATGATTTTACTCTGAACATATGTAAATATACACATATATAAAGCCCAGTAATGGGTGATAGATAATTACTTAGTATACGTATATGTCAAGGGCGGAGCTGATACGCAACAGTGAATACATGCTTAAATCACATGTGTTTTAATTTGCCTGTCAGTGACGCTGCACTTTGTGAACTTTACAAGTTACCTTTTAATGAATGAACAATAAAGAAAGTGATAAAGACAGATGACCTGCCGATATCACAGTGTATACTATTATATAATGAAGTGTCGATACGTACGAATTAATCCTGTTCCTCCATAAGAGGTCAATACGTACCGTAAAGGTAATGGTGGATGTACACGCATGGATTTACCATTAAGTGAATATTCCAGGATATGGTAGACTACATTTTGTATCTATGTAATAGTCAGTGAACATACATGATTTTACCATTGAAGATCGTCCGTTCTATGATGAGAGGATGCGTAACACTATAAGGGAGATGGTGGAAGGACATTCGTGGTACCATTGAGGGATCATTCTAGGACAAGAGTATAATGTAGACTGTTTATCTTATGGTCAGTGAACATATATGTTTTTTACCATTGAAGATAATCCGTTCTAGGATGAAAGGATAATATACTCTGTAATGTTAATGGCCAGTGGAAGTTCAATAGTATAATATTGATGATCGTAATAAGAAGAGACGACAGTTTTACATCATCATCATCAATGTATGATCTAAGAACATATACAGATTTACCAAGGAGGATTTTACTTGGAAGAAGAATGATGGATATTGTTGAGCAAGTGTAATTGCGAGTGGGCGTACGTTACGATAGTGATCACCATTGAATAAAAACTATATTTTGCTGACGATTAACATAATTTTGTTTGAATATAGCTGAGACCTTAAATGATTGTGTTAAGCTTATAGAGATGTGATAACGTGGAGTTTTACCATTGGTTCTCTTCATCTGACGACCTGACACAACAAAAAGAAAGGTAAGATAACCTTATGTATTTTTACTTTGTATTTCAATCTTCAGGTTTCGATTTGTTTTCTCTGATTTATTCTTTTACTTGAATTGTTCTGATGATATTTTTTACAATGGAATTATCAGCCGAATTATCGTCACATAAGAAAACAAAACAAATGAGAGATTTCATATTATGTAATTATTATGATGGATTAGAAACATAAAATGAAGTCTCAACATTAAATTGGATATGTAATGGTAATATTTCGAAATACCGAATGTTTTGATAATCTTAAATAGAGAGACATTTTCCTTTTTACAATAATTACATCAACCTAATGTTCAATCACTAATTGAGTAAAAGTGATATGTAAACTGACTCTTTTTCCGTTTTGATATTGAAAGCATTATAACGAATACTCTCATCGTGCGTGGAGCTAGATAGACATACAAAGACCCCACGATATAAATACATTGTACAACAGAAGACAGTGATCGACAGTCAATTTTATTACCAATAGGAATATTACACAAAATATTTTAAGTACAAGTTGGTGTTTATTTGTGTATGTAATTCAATATTTTTAATTGATATATGCAGTACATCACTGGTGATAATTTAAACAGAAATATTTCTGATTTTAGCGATATAGTTGAAATATTACGGAAAAGCTATTTTTACCAATATCACGGAAAAGCTATTTTTACCAATGTACTGTCAACATATTTTATTATATTGAATGGTCTATATTGATATATATTTGGGGAATTCTTTCACATAGTAAAAACATATATCACATCCCTTTCCACTCACTCAACAACTATAAACAGATTGATACAATATCTCTCCTACGACCACCCAGTGTCATAATCATAGAGATATTGGGGATATGTAAAATACTATCTACATTTCCATCTCACAGAACATAATCCTTTCAATCATTTAGTTCTAGTGAACCTTTGTCACGTGTTACTATGGAGACGTGTGATCATACTCGTTCAGTTACACGATATACCTGTTTTATCTCTCAACAACATACTGACGACTGTTACAGTCGTCAGTTGGTCATTAACTCTCATTAATTGACAAATAGTTAAATATATTAAAACACTCACTGATATGTTTCAGACAAGAGATAAAAAAAACTAACACAATAGCTGAATGCGTATAAAAAGGAACCTTCTACGTTCGGAAACTTCGTGTTTCTAGATAAAATTGCTTGAATAATGAACATTGTGTATAACCAGAATTGTAAGTATCTTTAAAATCAAGTATGATCTATAAAATATATCAAAGTATAATTGAAAAGGAATTGATTTTTTCAGACAGGGGATATATCAAAAAACCAAAAAACATTTTATATTTACCAAAACTGATTTTAAAAAAATTCTAGAATATTTTGCTTTTTACTTAGTCACAAAATACGCAATCGTATTTTTTTTTACCAACTGACAGTAAACCTCCAAAAAAAGAAGTTTCCGGATGTACGAGGTTCCATCATACTGACAGGATATGGCAATTAGGAAATATAACTAAACGTTATCACAGTCCGCTTATCATATTAACTCACTAGTGCGGGTTACTAATCCCGCCATGGTGACAGGTATTGACTAGTCTCGCCACTATGACAGGTAAATGGCTAGTTCCGCCATTGTAACAGATATTGACTAGGTCCGCCATTGTGACAGGTATTGACTAGTTCCGCCACTTTGACAGGTAACTGACTAGTCCCACCATTATGACAGGTAATTGACTAGTTTCGCCATTGTGACAGGTAAATGACTAGTTCCGCCATTGTGACAGGTACATGACTAGTTCCGCCGTTATGACAGGTAAATGACAAGTTCCGAAATTGTGACAGGTAAATGACTAGTTCCGCCATTATGACGGGTAAATGACTAGTATCTGTTTACTAAATGATTCACACTAAACCTGCATTATAAAAGACCTGGATTATAAAATGTAAAAAACTAGTATATGTTACTATCATTTGTGTATCATAACAGACAGAACACCTGTACCGGTATTATAACAGACAGAACACCTGTACTTGTAATATAACAGACAGAACAGTACGTTGTACCTGCATTATAACAGACAGAACAGTTGTACCTGTATCATAACATACAGAACAGTTGTACCTGTATCATAACAGACAGAACACATGTACCTGCATTATAACAGACAGAACACCTGTACCTGTTTTATAACAGACAGAACAGTTGTACCTGTTTTATAACAGACAGAACAGTTGTACCTGTATTATAACAGGCAGAACACTTGTACCTGTATTATAAAATACAGAACACTTATACCTGTATTATAACAGACAGGACAGTTGTACCTGTATTATAACAGACATAACAGTTGTACCTGTATTATAACAGGCAGAACACTTGTACCTGTATTATAACAGACGGAACAGTTGTACCTGTATTATAACAGACAGAACGGTTGTACCTGTATTATAACAGACAGAACGGTTGTACCTGTATTATAACAGACAGAACGGTTGTACCTGTATTATAACAGATAGAACTCTTGTACCTGTATTATAACAGACAGAACAAATATACCTGTATTATAAAAGATAGAACAGTACGTTATACCTGTATTGCACCACACAGACCAGTTGTACCTGTATTATAACAGACACAACACCTGTACCTGTTTTATAACAGACAGAACAGGTGTACCTGTTTTATAACAGACAGAACCGTTGTACCTGTTTTATAACAGACAGAACAGTTGTGCCTGTATTATAACAGACAGAACACCTGTACCTGCATTATAACAGACAGAACTCCTGTACCTGTTTTATAACAGACAGAACAGGTGTACCTGTTTTATAACAGACAGAACAGGTGTACCTGTTTTATAACAGACAGAACAGGTGTACCTGTTTTATAACAGACAGAACAGGTGTACCTGTTTTATAACAGACAGAACAGTTGTACCTGTTTTATAACAGCCAGAACAGTTGTACCTGTTTTATAACAGCCAGAACAGTTGTACCTGTTTTATAACAGCCAGAACAGTTGTACCTGTTTTATAACAGCCAGAACAGTTGTACCTGTATTATAACAGGCAGAACACTTGTACCTGTATTATAAAATACAGAACACTTATACCTGTATTATACCAGACAGAACACTTGTACCTGTATCATAACAGACAGAACACATGTACCTGCATTATAACAGGCAGAACACCTGTACCTGTTTTATAACAGCCAGAACAGTTGTACCTGTTTTATAACAGCCAGAACAGTTGTACCTGTATTATAACAGATACAACAGTTGTACCCGTATTATAACAGATAGAACAAATATACCTGTATTATAACAGAAAGAACAGTACGTTATACCTGTATTATAACAGGCAGAACACTTGTACCTGTATTATAACATACAGAACACCTGTACCTGTATTATAACAGGCAGAACAGTTGTACCTGTATTATAATAGATAGAACAGTACGTTATACCTGTACTATAACAGACAGAACAGTTGTACCTGTTTTATAACAGACAGAACCGTTGTACCTGTTTTATAACAGACAGAACAGGTGTACCTGTTTTATAACAGACAGAACCGTTGTACCTGTTTTATAACAGACAGAACAGGTGTACCTGTTTTATAACAGACAGAACCGTTGTACCTGTTTTATAACAGACAGAACCGTTGTACCTGTTTTATAACAGACAGAACAGTTGTACCTGCATTATAACAGACAGAACTCCTGTACCTGTTTTATAACAGACAGAACAGGTGTACCTGTTTTATAACAGACAGAACAGTTGTTCCTGTATTATAACAGATAGAACAGTCCGTTATACCTGTATTATAACAGACAGAACACTTATACCTGTATTATAACAGACAGAACACTTGTACCTGTATCATAACAGACAGAACAGTCGTACCTGTGTTATAACAGACAGAACACCTGTACCTGTATTATAACAGACAGAACACATGTACCTGTAATATAAAAGTAAATCACTAGTACCTGTTTTATAACAGACAAAACACTTGTACCTATACTATAAAAGGTAAATCACTAGTACCTGTTTTATAACAGACAGAACACTATTACCTGTATTAAAACAGGTTAGTTACTTGTCTTTCCATCATAAGAGATAAATCACTAAAACCTGTACTATAGCATGTAAATGACTAGTCCCGTCAGAAGAACAGGTAAATTACTACTTCATATATTAAAACATATAAATGACTTGGTCCTCCATCACAACATGTAAATGACTGGCACCGCCAATATTTTATATACAAAAAATCACTGTTCTAGATCCTGCTCGAGCGCCGGTCAATGACGGTAACAATTATGTACATATTTACGAAAACATTATTTGCAAAATCTTTCAAAGCAAAAGTTTTGTACATTTTACCACTAAAATTATTTTATTAGCACTTGTAACACAACTAAATCAACGTCTCTGTTGTCTTTACATCTCGAGAGTCATTCAACGTCAGGCAATGATTTGTAACGTTGCACACCTGCGAATGCAATGTCTGCAGTCATTTATCATATCTGTCAAAGGTCGAAATTTACACCAATGACTTCGGCACTTTTACTCATCGACAAAGATACATGAAACCATAATATGTGGTATGAACAATATGTATATAGTTTGAGACAAAAAAATGTTTATGATCCTTATACCATTTTATGAAACCCCCCCATCAATGTTTAAATTGATATGGATTGTGTTATTGTGTCCAGTTTCGAACATTAATTGAGATTAGGAATTCCCCTTATTTTGAAAGCGATTATAGTAACAGTGAGGAATGAGAGAATAAAACCCGCAATAGCTCCGAAGTTCCGGTAAAAGTTGTCGATTGCATCCGGGTAGAATGCCTCCAGGTATTCATCGCCTGTCCTAAACTGACACGGCGCCGCTGTGAAAGGGGAGACAACATCTGGTTAGAGTAATAAATAATCTTCGGATTGGAAACATTAACAGATTAATATATGACGTAAATGTATAGACTGCTAAATGTCACGTTTTCATAATTGATTATTTTTAGAAAAGTAATTGATAAAAAGTTAATTAAAAAGATACAAATTTTGAACGGTAGGAGGTACATATCGAAGATATCACATTTCTTTAATTTGTAAATACAGATTACTTAAACAGAAAAACGTTTAGATCTGACGCCAATAGTGCAAGACTGTATTTGCATATGTATCAACGCAATACCTACCTCCTGGGCCAGTCGCGCACGTGAAATTGGAGCCATGGAACTCGTTTGCTACTAATACCTCCGTGCTGTACTTGTGAATAGTGAACCAGGCAGCCCAGTGGAAAATCTCAATCATACTCTCTAGGCTCCTGTGTAACACACATTGCAAAAAGAGTAAGTAATGATGTGTAGTGCATAAATAATGTTCTATCTAGGCAGCACAAAAAAGGCACTTTTTTCAAAACAATTCAAACCCTTTTTACTTAGAGCTTTACCGCTCATAGGTAAGAGATACAGTTCAACATATAATCAGTATAGACATATAATCAGTATAGACATATAATCAGTATAACGTGTAGTGTCAGCTTTGCCAGGAAAAAAAAATGTTGGTCAATATGAATTCATGCCTTTGTATTGCTAAGGCCGGTTTAGTTTCTGAAAGAGAAGGTAATCCTTTCCAAGTAGGTATTTGAAATCATCGATCAAACATCAGCTATGTACGTGGAGTGTAGTAAGACTTATAACTGATTGCAGTTTGAGGCTTATATCAATTATAACATAAAAACCGGACAAATATCGCATACACCAGCTCTATCATAATTGTAGCGCATGACGTTTTTATCTAAAGATTCCTGTCCCATTGCATTGGGATTTTTTCGTACTAACAGTAACCTCCCTTTGACTTCCGGTTGGATATTGTAGCACAGTTAGTCTGGGACACTACATGAATCCTTATGAACAGCTGTTTTTCGGCCATAAGTACATATTACGTGTTGCTGGATCGCATTGATGCAATGCTAATGATACAAATTAAAGCTTAAATTACTGGGTTTTTCCCCCTGAGACTTTGATTAACCCTGATTTTACTACTTCGTGAAATCATCCGTGTTTGGGATTTATATTGACTTGACTTGATACAGTGTATGGTTAGTATCAAATTAATTACAGTGACTAAATTAATCACATTTAATATACATTTAAAACACCCTGGTTGCTAGTAAAAAATATTTTCTTTGTGGCAGACAGAAAGTCATTCTGGAGATCGATCATTTTGTGATATTATAATCGTTTAACATAAATCATATTGGAGCAAGTGTAAACGAATCGATTTCACGGTGTCTAAAGAAGTTACAGTTCTCCATGACAGCAAGTTTCACATCAGCATAGGACAAGGAAACTAATCTATAATGTTTTCAGTTTGATTTGGTTTTCATAGAATGAAATTATTAATGTCGAGAGGAAGCATGCATTGCAATACAAATGTGCCATGCGGTAACTAAACGACTTATTAGTTTGAATGAAATCGTTTCAAGTTCAGCTAATTTTGTATACAATGCACATACATGTGCTATTATCGACTGGTTTTTCTAACATACTTGTGCATATGTCAAGTTTGCCTTGTAAATGTATGATATGTTACGCATGATACAGCTTAGTGTTAGAATTATAATAATGGTATATCATAAGTTATGATTCTGAGAACAAATAGGGAAAAAACTGGTTACCGACTTACGTATTTAAGGTTACTTTTCCGAATGGGGTGATTGTATATTACATTATTGACGAGAACTGTAAGGACAACGTGAGAACGAGAATACTACCTGAGAAGACCCGATGAGAACAGCAGGGATGCGGTGAGAATTAGAGTGATGGTACTGTTAGCTATTTGCGCGTTCTGGAACACGCCCATGCATCCAACTGTCATTATCTCCCCTACGAGGTGCAGCACGAAAACAACGGCATAGTAAATGCCGAACCTCTGCCACTCCGGATACAGTCCCGTCACCCTGGCAATAGACAACGACACGCATGCGTCAACTCAAATCAATTCAATACACAATAGTAGTTTTTAATTTATTAATGATAAACAGAATGTAAGTTAGAATACATGTGATCAATGAGCGATAACTTATATATCCAAGCAACTTGTTAAATGTTTTGATGGTGCTTTAAATGATAACATATAACTGCCATCTGACAATAATATTTGCTATATATAAGGAGGGTGTATTAGCTGAAAGCGCACTCGCCTTTCGCTCCTTTTTATCGTTAAAAGAAAATATGTTTCTTTTTTGAAGATTCTGGCATCTACGTGTAACATGTATGTTAAGCATCTTGTATAGTGACCTTGTGTCCTGACCAGTAACGAGTGCTAATGGATACCAGTGTGTTCATAACAAACGTTCAGATGACAAAGATATAAACAACTACATTATAATAACTTGTAATATAATAGAATGTTTATAACAAGTCTTGTGTAGATTATGTTTTAAACAACTACATTATAATACCTTGTAATATACTAGTATGTTTATAGTCGTAAGAATAGCTCTTCTGAGCTAAAGTTGCATTGTTACAAAAAAGATTCTAAATAGAAATTCTTGTATCTTGTATAACAAGTCTTGTGTATATGATATTATACACAACTACATTATACTACCTTGTAATATACTAGTATGTTTATAACAAGTCTTGTGTAGATGATATTACACACAATTACATTATACTACCTTGTAATATACTAGTATGTTTATAACAAGTCTTGTGTAGATGATACCATAGCCAACTACACTTTATTTCCCTGTTTACCTACTAGTATGTTTAAACTAATCTTTGTGTACATGATGACAACTAAATTTTACAATTATGCTACCTAGTATTTACTTGTATGTTTATAACAAGCCTTGTGTAGACGATGTTGTAAACAACTATATTTTACCACATTGTATACCTACATGTTCCAGTATAAAGGTATGAACAACTACTGTTTACTACCTTGTATACATACATGTACCAGTTATGAACAACTACTGTTTATTATCTTGTATACCTACCAGTATAAAGTTATGAACAACTACTGTTTACTTCCTTGTATACATACCAGTATGAAGTTATGAACAACTACTTTTTACTTCCTTGTATACCTAACAGTATGTAGTTATGAACAACTATTGATTACTACCTTGTATACCTACCAGTATGAAGTTATGAACAACTACTGTTTATTACCTTGTATACCTACCAGTATGAAGTTATGAACAACTACTGTTTACTACCTTGTATACCTACCAGTATGTAGTTATGAACAACTACTGTTTACTACCTTGTATACCTACCAGTATGAAGTTATGAACAACTACTGTTTACTTCCTTGTATACCTAACAGTATGTAGTTATGAACAACTATTGTTTACTACCTTGTATACCTACCAGTATGAAGTTATGAACAACTACTGTTTACTTCCTTGTATACCTAACAGTATGTAGTTATGAACAACTATTGTTTACTACCTTGTATACCTACCAGTATGAAGTTATGAACAACTACTGTTTACTACCTTGTTAATTTACTATAAAGTTTGTAAGAAACCTTGTGTAGATGGTGTTATAAACGACTATAATTGACAATCTTGTATACATACCAGTATACGATGATACTGAAGATGAAGCTTGCGAAGAGTGTAAAGGGTACGATATGTAGGACGTAGGCTATCATAAAGGCTACTGTCCCATAGAGTCCATCTCTCGTCTCTCGGTAGTACATGTCGCGCATGGGCGGAACTAAAATACCGAACGGTAGTGTCAGTCATTGTTTACATTGAGCATAGTAAAAGTTGGTTCCAAGATTACATGTAACAATAATTACTTTAATTTCTAATATGTGCGATGTTGTTTATGGAAGCCCTTACACTCATTGCATCAGTGTAGGATGGATACATTGATTCATGCATCCTTATTCAGTTGGATGGCATAAGTATTTAACTTGCTCATTAACGCTTGTTTGTACGGGATTTTTAAATATTTGTTATGTTGACTTAAAGAATATTAAAATAGTAAAAATATATTTGTGAATAAAAGCATAAATAACTATATAATAATAACTTATTATTTTCCACTTATTTCGGTATTTCATTATTGCAAATATTTATTAGTTTTCGAACACCACTTACACAAAGCCACCCCGTTGAGGATAGCGACGTAGGGCGGCACACTAAGGGACTGGTACATAAGACCCACCCTGTCCTGTATGCTCTCCTGGTTGGTCTTCATGTGGCCCAGGAATGCACAGATAAAAGGGACAAACAGTGAAAGGAGAAACAATCGGCTGATGTAGATCGTCCGGTCTCGACCAAGGTTTACCATCATTCGACTGTAACAAAAATACAAAAATGCCGTGAATTTAAAATTTAACTTTTATAAAACTTATATAAAACACTCTTGTTGGACCGGATGGTACATGTGGCGCCTGAATGTGTCCACCTTGATGATCTAAAGAGAAAATAGAAATTCCGAAATAACCAGTACAATGTTTATTTCTCATTTTTGGACAATACATTCCTGAAGTCAAAGACGATAGATAAACTTGAAATAAGGTTAGTTATAACCACGTTTGGCTTATATTATAAATAGATAAATGGGAAAATTAATGCTACAATACAATACAGAAAGTACTATTGAATATCGGCCTAGTCATAAAGTGCTAAGCATGGACAAGATGAATCGGTATGACCTGGCATGCTATTTAAAAATGGAAACACATGCATCGAGATTAAAGTGGTTTTAGAAACCTCATCCATATTAATCTAACATCACATCCGACCGCTTAAGTTAAATAAGTAATGTGTGCACGTCAGTATGCAGTTTGATTGACGAGATAGACCTCGATTTATACATAGGGTAATCATGGCGACATCACACCTGGTGACAGGTACAACACATCGTAACAAGTCGTGTCCTTAACACCTTATCCGGAATGTAGACAAAGCTTAAAATAGAACCACATTATTTATTTCAGGATTTATGTTATAAAATTATTGTATATACCCGCGTGACAGGAAGCTTTCAATTGTTTTTGTATCAGAAGGGATATCATTTCTGTCAATGAAATATAAATTTCTAATTTATCATGAGTAGGCAAATATTACCACACAGAGTGGGTTTCAGACAGAGTATAATCACTGAAAATCAAAGTATTAAAAACGTTCCTGAAGCAATAACAATCTCTTTGTAGTTATTTGCCCCAACATTTTATGGTAAAACATTTTTCACCTATAGCTATACTTTCTACTAGATTTGATATACATAGATATCTTGCATAGGCAATATAGACAGTGAATATAGTACTTTCATAGCAAACAGTTGTTTTTTTCTCTACAAGCCCGAGGCAAAATCATCAGGATAATTTTATAGCTAATTTTGTCGTAATACATAGCTATTGATTGTTCTGTACACACAGCAAACACTATATCATATTGTATAGACAATTACTAATATCAATACTAATATTGTCATACATACATGGGTATTCTTTTTAAATATATATACATGTATATTGTATAGCTGTGTGATAACAGTTCAAAACCCCAATATTCTAAATACTCTCAGTATACATGAATTGAAAGAAAATTGGGTTTTTACACCAACATTTTTTTTTTGATAAGATACATGATCATTTTCTTGCATTATTTTCCTTTGGTTGAATTTTTGTTATAAAGCGGAGAGAGATATCCGATATAATTAATACAATGAAGAAATAAATAACGTTTTCTAATTGTAACTAGGACCGTCACAGAAGTCCCCACAACTATCTCTGTAGTCGCCATGACACACTGGAAAGATTTAACATTGCCTTAATTCCCTTTACCACTAAGTTGGAGACAAATTACACAGAGAGCGGGGTCGATGGCATCACCTTGGCGTACACCCATACATGTGTCAATTAACTATAGGCGACGGTTGTCGTGCTTGATGCTCGATCAGAAAGTTAAACGTGTTACGCACAACTATTCATGTCAACCAATGATCTAGGGAAGGTTTGTAAGTATTTTACCAATATAAAAATCCTCTGAAACCAATTGGCGTTAGACAAATAAGACAAAAACAAGAGGAACAAGACGATAAAAAAGGAATAATAGTAAAAGTGAGAAACGCTGCAAAATCGCTTTGTATTATGTCATATGGGGAAATCATTGATCGAATTCAAGCTATTATATTGATGAGTTAAATAAAACATTTCGATCATTATATCCACTATTCTTTTCCCTTAAATAATTATCTACCGGTGTTATTAACAATGGTCTACTACAGAGTCACCGTACATAAAGAGTTAAGCAAGAAATAAACTGAAATGATAGCTTGGATCAGATTTTTGAATATTGAAGACAATACATCCTAACAGATGGAGCACAATGCAACAGGTGAATCTACTGTTACATATAAATCTATTCACCTCTCTTATATTCGTGTTAAAGTAATTTACATGCCAAAAATGGAAAATTTCTAATATCACTTAATCACAGGATGAAGTCATTTTCATAATTTTAAGTGTTTATTGATTTTGGACACAAACAGGCTAGGTGTCAACAAGTGTGTGGTCTAATTAACTTACCCAACGAGAGCGTTTATGATTCGGAATATATTGGGTGGGCGGGGTTTGTAGAAGAGCACGAGCGTGCGGCGCGTGGAGGGCTTCATGGTTTCCTCCATCACCATGTTAAGTGTTTCGTTGTGGATCTCAGACATGGAGAAGGTCTGAACCAAGGCCTTCACGCGAGTGGCTGAGTCAAACTCACTCTCGTGATTCCTCCTGTCAACACTTGCCAGGTCAACTGTCAACAGAACAACATCATTTTAATATAAGTTACTGTCAATAGGGGCGGCATCATTGTTATAATATAATAAAATGTCAACAAGTGCACCACTCTAACATGAGACACTGACAACAGTGCGTTATCACTGTCACACAAGGACATCATTTCATACAATCAAATGTCAACGGCGCGACATCATTTTAATGCAGTCAACAGTAGCTAAATACTGGTACTGTCAACAGGAATGAAACATTGTAATGTACACTATAATTAACCGGCAGAAGCGGCATCATCTAAATGTGATGGGGACATTAGTGTTACACAAACAACCGTCAACAAAAACAACATAACATATCGTATACAGGACAGCATCGTTATTATACAATCAATTATCAACAAGGAGCGTAACTCTAAAGCAGCCATCAACAGGGAGACATCATTTAAATTGGACTGGGACAGTATTGTTATACAAACTACCATCAACAAAGCATACCGTTAATAAAAAAGCATCGTTATTATACAATCAACTGGGCAAGAAGGAGCGTTACTCGTAAATCAGCCGTCAACAGAGAGACATCATTGTTATGCAACCGTTAACCAAAAAAGGTCATTTTGTTTACAACAAACTGTAAAATCATCATTATTTTACAATGATATGTCACTAATGAAGAATTTTGTATAATCAACTACATACTACTCATATAGCATCGACTTATATTTATATGATTCACTAACGCTATACAATCACGTATCAACATAATATAAAGGGACGTACGGTCTATATTCAAATGTTTACAGGAAGACAAAACTGATATTTGTTCGAGTGTCAACATTCATAAACCACTGATTAAGTGTCAACAGGAAGAAAGCATTGTTATGTACCAAGTATCATCAGGAAGGAGTTACTAATACAAAAAAGTCACCAGGAAGGATTGGGTATTGGCAACGAGAAGTATCATTGTTATTCAATACAGCGTTAACAAGAGTACGTGATAGTTAATTTCAGGGTCAGCAGAAAGAGTGATTGTATACAATAAACTGTTACATGGAACGGAACACAACCATTATCACACTTTAATGTAAAATCTCATTTTATTACAACGAAATCTCAATAGTGAACATTTATATTAACATTTCAATTGATTATGAATAAGGCATATTAAAAACATATTCTTAAGTGGGAATAAATAGATATATTTATCAATCATAATATATGGTAAGATAAAAGTTAAAATAGTTATATATCGTGATAACTAGTCGTACAAACAAATAAATAAAGAGAGATAAAGCGAATCACATTTATGTGAAATATACTATCGATCACAATAACGAATCGTAACACAAAAACCTAAGTCATCATTACAATCGTTTAAATGTTCTCTTTGACATGATGTCGGTAACTGAACAGTAGGTGGAAGTAACAATATGACAGTTTAAAAACCGTTCTAAAAGACTCAAATCTCCATTTAACTTGAATTATAGAAAATGAAATTTTTGTACATGTAGTTGACACAACGTTTGGTTATCAATCATCACATTTTATTGCCTTTTGACGAATTGAATATAAATTGTAACTACTGTTTTAGTATCTGTCACAATGTACAGCTTCGCTATTCATCACAATGTATTTTACTGCATTTTGCCAGTCTCCATCAATGCGAAATAAGATATAAAATGGTGAAACGAGTAGTGTTAGGTTATAAACACATGGTAATATCAACATAGATGTCAAGTTGGGTGACGTAATATGCATGATTTTGTCATTTGTGACTGTCTGCCTCTAGGCCATCAGATTATCCTGGCAATATTTACAAAGGTTGAATGGTATAATGGTTACAACTAGCGCGGGCATTTATTGATCCTGAATCAATATACAGATTATAACAAACAAATCGTGGCTGTCCCCCTTTTATAAAATTTAATAATGTGTTTAGTGTTTATATTGTAATTGAAATGATATTATTGGAAAACGTTTCGATTTAGTTAATCAATTAAACCATTACTTCTAACGTTAATGCAGTGTTATTTGAAGTGAACTGTCAAGCGTCAAAATGACATGTGTACTGACGACGACTTAACCTGATCATATAACAACGACAACGGTGTTCATAGAGCTATGAACGCAATGACGCTTAAAATCGTTTGTTTTATAAAGTGAAGAGTGAATGCAAGTAGAAAATGTATTATTTTGATATGTCCCAAATCGCCAGTGCTATAAGTAAGGAGCAAGATTGAAAATAATTTAAGACTTTTTTTCACATGAAACTGGAAACATTTTATTTTCCAAAATATTACAGTCATGAACTTTTATTATGGCAGGATGTAAATGAAAATACACTTCGATCGTTCTGGTTTGTCTGGTTTCTGACCCGTTTGAATTACAATTAACTACACTAGAAGTAAACGTTTTCCTTCCAAAATTTCGATTGAAGCAAGTTTGAAGCTACGTGTAAATGATTCAGATTTGAAGTACGTATATCCTATAGATATGATTATAAACAGCTTACTATAATGGTCAAGAGGGTTGGCGAACGTCGGACAGGGGTGACCAATTTGACCAAAGTAGTCGACGAGTTCGCTAGACTTGCCCAGAAAAACCTGCTCCCCCATGCTCATGATGCAAACCATGTCAAACAGCTTGAAGAGTTCAGAACGAGGCTGGTGAATGGTGAGAATGACAAGTTTGCCGCTGTTGTGGGCGATGTCGGCTAGGTTGGATACGAGGTACCTGGCCGTGTAACTGTCAAGGCCTGTTGTAGGCTCATCCAGCATCAGTATCTCTGAGAAAATTACCAAATATTTGAAGTAAAGATATCCTTTACATACATAAATTAAATGTTAAATCGTTTTTATCACCAAACACTGGAGAAGTTTTTATTTAAATACACTCATATTTTAGCCCATTATCCATGTACAATGTACAATGTACAGAAATGTCAATGATCGCATCATAATGTTGTCCAATATTTCAGACACAAAAACGCTAAAAAAATCACTGCTAAATTATCTACGTTAACAGAAATATGAATTGAATTTCATGCTTTATGAATTATCTTAAATATCAAAATTGATTCCATATGAGCACTAAAATATATAACCAGACAATATGGCGAGCACATTTTAAAATAAGCGTTTTTTTGTGTTACCTTATCTAAAAGCATAATGCCCCACCAAAACCAATATGTAATAATTGGTTAAAATGAAGGATGGGAAGGCGAATTGTGCCGATGGACGTTATATAAAACAATAGCCACTCTTAAAAAGTGCAATGAATCTACATTATATCAGTCTACTATATAGCAGAATTTTCAACGGGAGAATTAACACTGGTACAACACAGATATAGTTGTTTTAAAACTACGTAAAGCAAATTCATGGGGGAAAGGCTATTAGACCATGCTGTTTATTACTTTGTCAAAATCATCTGTTAAATGTGCTTTTCCAAACTGAATCTAGATCATAATCTCATTGTTTTGGGTGGCAACAATCGATTTGAGATTGTGTAATTACTTGGATCTTGGAGTAGTTGTATTGCTATGGTTACACGTCTCCGTTCTCCACCAGATATTCCACGATTCACAGTGCCACCAATCTTGGACTCCGCCACGTTTTTTAATCCCATTTCTTGTATAACTTTATTCACCTATGGGAAGAAGGTGCAAATCAGATGTACAAACTATGAAATTATGGGATATGACAAGTGGCAAATATCTATATAGTTCCTTTTCCTTACAGGATCGCATCGCATTGCTAGCATTTTTTACGAAACAAGCAGGTTGACATTATTTTGACTTTCAGTCTCTGAAATATGTGATGGCCTTGTAGCCGAAGATAATTCTTCTTACACGGTTTGTATGCAATACTAATTTAGAAAAGAAACTGTGTGTCAAAATGCTCCCATTTGCAACGTTATAAAGAGGTTTTTATAAAAATGTTGTCTTTTCATTGTATTTTTCTTATGTTAAGAATACTTTATAATTAATTTTTTTCTCCCTTCAAAACTTCTGATAAGACATACATGGACGAAATAGCCTTATGATGCAGTAATATGCCATCTCTGTTGAGCTTTCTGCAAACTGAATTTTAAACAAGCGCTTCCTTACTGCGCGTATTAAGTCATTCCAGTCGGTTTTATATAGGCATCAGACAAAGAAAATATAAGTGTTACAGGAGAAGGAGAAACGCAAAGGCCAGAACGTGTCTCCAACGGCCGCTCTGCCAATTGCACTACCTGGTCGCCTACGATCGATCCAAAGCTTGAAGTAACATGGATTGGCAAGCTAGCAACCTTTGTAAAAGGTGAAATATAAATGCAATGGCCAGACCGGGATTCGAACCTTGGACCCTCCTAACTTAAGACAGACGCTATACCAATTCAGCTACCTGATCGTCGACGATCGACCAAGTCAGCTTCCGTTACATTAGTACATTTGTTTGCCTTGGTAACAGGGAAGGTCATATTTTTAATGTTTAATCGAGTTTGCTGTCTTTTTTCTTTCACGTGGATATAACTGTCTCAATAGGTTTACATGATCTAACCCAGCCTATATACCTTAGATTCTATCTCTTGTGAGGTTGTACGTCCCGGCAATCGAAGAAAAGCTGCGTACTGTAGGGTCTCCCTGACTGTAAGGTTGGGGAACAGACGGTCGGCCTGCATGACGTAAGCTCCATATTGTTTGATGACCTCTTTGGTACACTCGTAATTGTTGTAGTAAACCTTGCCGGATACCTTTCCGCTTGTTCGGCATGCGATCACGTCCAGCAACGATGTCTTTCCCGATCCTATGATAAGTCAAGCATATATATATATCTATGAAAAAAGGTAGGTTGATTTTGCTTTATTTCGTTATCATGCCTGATATAACACTGTCAAAGGCTTATCATGAGCATTCTATGCTGACTGATTCAAAGTACCCAAGTGATATCAGAGTAGAAAGAAAACCATAATCCCTTACATTAAAAAAAAAGAAATTATGGAATGTTTATACAGAAATCTATAAGTGATATACAACGCTTAAGACTTTGATAGGACCTGTTACATGTATCAAATAAACCACACCTGAACTGCCAAGAATGGCGACTATCTCTCCTCCTCGAAATTGGGCAGTGAAATCTCGAAGCACGGTTTTAGATTTTGACCTCCGGAAGCAGGCGCCCTTCCACCACGGCCCGACCTTTTCCGATACCTCGTACTTGACATTGAGGAGGTTGAGGGTGGGGCGTGCCGCGCGCAGCTCCTCCTCCTCGTCAGGGGACATGGTAGCACAGCTACTAAGTACATAGTGGAGGTCAAAGATGCTTGGGTCATCCATTACGTCTATTGGTGATCTGTTAACACAGAGAGATAATTTTACAGCAACGTCTAGCCATTTATATGCATGTTTATTACAGTAATGTATTCTCTATTTGTTTCTAATCAGAAACAAATCTCTTACGGCTAACCGCCCTCGTATTCGGGAGTAAACAACAGTCAATCTCGTTTTGAAACATGTAGAGTGTATTACCTCCATCTTGTTTTCATATTATTACGTTTTTTTCAGTAAGCATAACTCATATTTAGAACATCAGTATTATGTTTTGTCTTCTTCCTGTCTTTTTAAACTGATCTCGTAGATGATACGCGATAGAGTATCTTGGAGATCAAAGTTTGATCTTAGCTCTATTGCATACCATCATCAATGTTAAAAACATCCACTTTAGTCTTTATATTTACATTAAAAAAATCAACATTAATGTATTTCATCTGTTTTTCCTATTTTCGTTTGGTTCATGGTACACAGTAAGCAATCTGTTTTTACCGAAATGATTACTGGTTTCTAAGGTTACCAGTTCCGCAAGGCGACGAAGGTCAATCGAACAGCATTCGGGAATTTCCCGCTATAACTTTGAATTTAACGGCACTTTATGATTGTTTCATTATTTCTCAATTATATGAGTTGCAAAAAGGTAATGATAGGTTACATTACAATTGCGGTGAACTATTTTTATGTAAATAAGTCTTTATACCTATTGCAGGCAGCGTTAACATCGCTTTATACATGTATTTATCATTTAATTTTTTAAATTTTAAAGTAAAAGATCAATATATCTCAATAACGAATCTGAATTTCAATGTCTAAGAGTAGTCTTTAATATGACTTATCGTAGGATTGAAATTCATGGAGACTATACTATCATTCAAATGATATGTTGGACATTTTCAATTGTTATGTTATTTAATTTCCCCCGAAAAGAATGACGCGTCAATGAATTGGCATAATACATGCCATGTTCACTGAATAATCGCCAGAAAGTGTAATTCACGAGGGATGCGGAATGTAAGTAAAGAGCCATGCATTATTACCATAGGATATGTGCTCAAATTATATAAGTGAATTTTGTATATCTGTTTTAAAGGAATTTGTGAAGTAATCACAGACAGGTAGCTATTGAAGTTAAATTTATAAACTGGAGGTAAATAATGAATATTGGTATGTTACTCAAGTATTACTGACAGAAGGTTAAAGTACTATGACAGTGTAATATACATACATGCTAATGAAGCAAAGTGTAAAATTTGACCGTATAAGCACTGAAATAGTGTTATTCAAATTAGGGACAATGATGTCAATTTAAACTAAAGAAAAATGAAAAAAATAAAAAAATAACACACATTTCATGACCTGGCAAGACGTGTATCGCATTTCATGACACGGCAAGTCGTGTATCTCATTTTATGACCTGTCATGTCGTTTTTTACATATTATGACCTGGCAAGTCGTGTATCACATTTTATGACCTGGCAAGAAGTGTATCACATTTTATGACCTGGCAAGAAGTGTATCACATTTTATGACCCGGCAAGTCGTGGATCACATTTTACGACCCTAAACGAAGCTCACAATCCCAGTCTTCCAACATGTAATGTAAGTAAACGCTATATTCTACAATCTCTACATTCGCTTATTTCGAGCAGGCAAAAACATTATACCTAATTCTTCGGTCCCAAAACAGCGTCCATACTATTGTACCAATCAACGCCATATTCTAAGACCCAACACTTCGTTCATTCTACCGTAGAAATTAGCGCCATATTCTACGCCCACATACCTATTGTAAGACAATACTACCCATTAAACCTCGGGATGGAGCGAGTTCTATCAAATTGTCTTATCTCTTGCTTGTGCTTTTAGACCGTTGTCAAGTGCCAGCTTTTTTAATTAGAGAAAGACATTTTTAAAATGCATTTTGTGGCACATCGCCAGTCTGCAACCATAATCGGAAGCATAGTTTTGGTACATTAGATTTGGTATCGATTCCTGGGTTTTATCAATTGAATGCGTACATAATTATGCGAGATGGCTTGAGCATAAAATCACAGACATGCAGACATTATCTGTTTTTATTCACACTTGGTCACGTCTGTGTCAGGGTGTAGCGCCCCGACTTCTATATAGAATCCTATGTCGAATGTTACACTGTATATACTTACATACACTTTGTAAACATGTTAGATGGGACCTTTACTGTATGATGTGAGTCATTGATCAAAATGTAATATGGAGGGAATTCGTAGACGTCTAGAAATGCCAAAGCGTTGCCCTAGGATTGCAGTTGAGGTCAACTGTTTGACTTTCGTGTTTAGAGGATCACAATTTGTGCAAAGATATATTTCCTTCAGTTCTGAACATATTAATTTTGCTTTCTATTATTAATTTTATTATTTTCTGATTGCAAAAGTCTGCATCTGTAGCCATCCAGCGTGGACAATGGAACACGTTTTCGCTTTTTATGGAAGCCAGATGAGACAGCCACACATTTGACACATCTGGCCCCCTAGGATTTCAATTGAAAACTCAGTATATGTGGAATTTATTTATTTAGAAAAACTATGATATAAATGTTTATCATTTTAAATGGGGATGGTTCTGGTACATATACAGGATGCAGGTCAGAGGCAGTCTACGTAACAACGGTATGGTTAGTAAGCACCATGTATTAGACGGGAGTGTGCGGCATTATTAATTTGCACCCATTACCCAATTATTAAAAGGTACAGGGGCAGTAAAGCGGTGTAGTGCGGTAAAGGGGACAATACCGAGGTACAGTATTAGAAGGTACGGGGGCAGTTGTTCGAGAGTCAAGAAAACTGTACCAAAGTGTATCATTGTGAAGGAGAGAGTAACCAGGCATAATAGTACAAGAGGCTGAACCCGGGTGTATGACGATACAGGGGGCAGTTCCCAGGTGAAGGACGGTAAAGGAGGAAGTACCATGGTGTAGGACGGTAAAGGAGGAAGTACCATGGTGTAGGACAATAAAGGAGGAAGTACCATGGTGTAGGATGGTACAGGAGGAAGTACCATGGTGTAGGACGGTAAAGGAGAGAGTACCATGGTGTAGGACGGTAAAGGAGGAAGTACCATGGTGTAGAACAGTAAAGGAGAGAGTTCCATGGTGAAGGACGGTAAAGGAGGAAGTACCATGGTGTAGGACGGTAAAGGAGGAAGTACCATGGTGTAGGACGGTAAAGGAGGGGATACCATGGTGTAGGACGGTAAAGGAGGAAGTACCATGGTGTAGGATGGTAAGGAAGGACGTACCATGCTGTAGGGGACAGTACCCAGTTTCAGGATGTTAAAGGGGACAGTACCAAGTTACAAGACGGTGACCGGGGCATTACCCAGTTACAGGATGGTAAAGGGGACAGTACCCAGTTTTAGGACGGTAAAGGAGACAGTTCCCAGTTACAGGACGGTAAAGGGGACATAATCAAGGTGAAGGAAGAAATAGTGGGCGTACCGACCTGTTGGATGAGGTGGGACAAATACCCTAGTGTAGAAACATCTCCCATGTGTGTGACGGTATAGGAACGTTACTCAGGGATATGACGGTGTTATGGCATTTACAAAGTGTAGAACCAGTACCGTTTTTTAGTAAGACGATATATGGTTTGGTTGTATTTAAAGTCCAATTAACAACTATGGTCAATTCAGGACGAGCAAGGCTTTGGTGGTGGAGGAAACCGGTCTGTATGGTGTAAATACACCGGCTTGAGGCCAGTACCTGACGAAGGGCCCACCGCGACCAAGTGGCAGAGGGCCACTGGTAGCAGAATGTCAAACGCCTTAACCACTCTGCCAACGAGGCTCCACCTGCAAGGGTCAATTCAGTAGGTTATTGATAGGACTCAAACCTGCGACCCAGTGGTGTTGGGCTAGTAATCGTAGACGGTCAGACGCCTCAACCACTCGGCCACCGCAACGCCTCTCCGTTATGTATAAGAGGGTCAAAAGGCAGTATAATAACCTTTTACATTTTGTTTTACAAAACTTCTGTACCACGCAGGGGTGCTAGTACATGTATTTACCCGAACTACATGTATTGTATTGAACAGTTCAAGATGAATAGTGGTAGCACCTGTTCAATGTTGTTGGTAGGCCGGCGGACACACACACAGCCATGACAAAGCTAACGACACGACTTTTGCATTACCAGAAAATAGGGATGACTCATCCTAATACAGGAAAAAAAGTCGCGGAGAATGAACGCACATCACTGAGAGGCGGAAAGCTGGGAATCAGTATAAAATGATATAAATGTGTTGTTGAAAAGGTTACAGAAAGGAAATGATTTACATGTACAGAAAAGAACGACTGCACATTAGGATATGTATGTAGATAATAATCAGTTCTAGCACATTGGCTAGCCTCCATATTACATATAGGATGGAGTGGTTTAGTACTGTTAACACTTAAAGGCAAAACATTGTATACTGTTGTTTTGTTATCTACAAATATTTGTTGGAAACCGAATAGATATGGTAAATTGTTTTGCTATCTTAACTTCCAGTAGATCCGGCTGTTGTGGGGAAAATAACAATAACCATGCACATGTACATATTAACATTAGACACTAAGGTATTCACGTATTGAAGTTAATTTTTATCACGTCGCACGAGAATAGCAACCTCTATTTCCAAAAGAATTTAAATCGTCACAAAACCGTATGTGCCAGATTTGAACACATGTCCTCGAATGTCACAACCCGGTGTGATACCGCATGAAAGGTCGATAAATAGTCAAATTCAGTGTTTTCGTATTATCGGGAACCAAATAGATAATCGGAAGATAAGCGCCTTACAGTTATGTTTAAATGTATATGATATACTTAATGTGCAAAAACATGTTGATAAAAATGTAAGCAGTATATGTGGCTACCTTCCAAGCCGTCAATGAAGCAGCCCTTTATCGATCTGCTAACAGATATCAGAGAAGCTACAGACAAACAACACACAAACAATCGATCAAAAGCAACTAAAAGCCAAGGAACAGAACTCCCAATAAACA